AAAGTTCAGATTGATCAATTTGATGCGAATAGAAAAAAAACTAAAAATAGATACCACAGCACAGTACAGAAACGCAAATCACTAATGATGTAATGAGCTTTTAATTTTTCACTTTCTGTTGTTGTTGTTGTTGATTCACAATTTTTGTATATATATTCATTTATTTACACAAAATAATTTACTTTCATCCATTGTAAATTTTCATCATCATTTTCTCTTTTTTTTTGTTCAAATTCTATTTTTATATGCTTGAAATTACTATTTAGATGAAAATGAATGAATAAAAAAAACATTCAAATTAGCGTGTGTGTGTGTGTGTGTGTGTGTGTTTTTCTTCAGAATAATGTATGAAAAGATACGCACAAGAGATAGTGAAAGAGTTTGATTTTTTTCTTTTCTCTCTAAAAATTCACTTTTTTTTTCACTGCATCACCCTCCCCCAAATTCTCATAGAATAAATGAAATAAATTCAAATCAGATTCGTTTATATAACAATAAATAATCATTTTCGTAAAATTCTTTCGTAATTTTCTCGTTTCACAAAGATAAACATACCCATTTACACACACACACACACACACACACATGCACTCAGAGTGATTTAACTTTTTTTGTAAAACTATCAAATACAATGAAAATAATAGAAACAAATTATCGAGATCAACAACAACAATAACAGCGACAACACAATGTTTAATTCATATGGATGAATTTCTGAATTAATTATACATGTGAACTATTCAATGTGTGGATGTTGTTGTTGTTGTTGTTGTAGACAATTTGTATAAATGTGCTGTGTGGACAGTATTTTTTTTTTGTATTCAAATTGGTTATATGCTGCTGCTGCTGTTGTTGTTGTTGTTAATGATGATGATGAAAAATTGTGTTTTTTAAGTGTTTTGTGAGTAAAAATAAAAAAAAAAGATCAAACTTCATTTTTCACTGCATTTTTACAATAAAATTGTGTAATGATGTAGTCGATTTTTTAGGAAGAAGAAGGATAATTGCTAGATTTGTTTGAGTGCACTGGAAAAAAAATTCATTAATTCTAGATGCTGATTTTTGTGTGTGTGTGTGTGTGTGCTAGTTTGCTAGTGTAATATTCATGATGAAAATCAATTTTTTTCTCTCACTCTTTTTGTTGTTGTTTGCTGCAATGTCTTGATTGGAATTGAATTTTTAAAATTTTTCCAGTTAATAAAGTGTGTGTGTGTGTGTGTGTGTGTGTGCATTTTGATCAATTTTGTTGAAGAAAACAAAAAAAAAATTCAGTTTCTTTTTGCAATTGAATTTTTTTTTTTTTTTTTTTTTTTGAAAAAAAACTTGAAAATCAAAATGTCAAATGAAAAAAAAACACACACACAACATGAGATCAGAAAACAATTTTTCCTGTGAAATTGAAATTTATTCAATTTTGTTTTATTCAATTTAATTTCAATCTTCAATTGAAACAAAAAAAACAAACAGGCAGAAAAAACAAAAATAAAATGCATTGAGATAAAGCCAACATTTCAGGTGAATTCTTTCAACGCCTGAAATGTTGGCTTTACTGTCAAAAACATTCATGCAACAAACATTTATATATATATATATATATATATATATATATATATATATATTTGCAATGCAAAATAACAAACAACAACAACAAAATTGGAAAATAAAGGATTGATTCAATGAACTACGATTGTGTTTGTGTGTGTGTGTGTGTGTGTGTTTTCATGGAATGGTAGAAAAAAAAACAGAATTTTTTTCTCTTTCCAGATATCAAATTTGAATATCTACATTATTAACCAATGAACAGCCAATAACATTACTGTTGGTAAATTAAATATATTGGGATGATCGTATCGACAAAAACAAAAACAATAACTGATTCATTCTCAAATGAACCGTATAACGTTGATATTTGGCATTTAATTTGAATTTTATTGGATCAAAATATCCGCAAGATTGGTTTAGCTGGTCGGAAAAAAATATTGTGCTTAGTGTTTTTTTTCGAGTTCATTTTTATTGCTAACGTCTTTTGTTTTTGTTGTGAAAAGATTTTCATCTTTTTTTTTCTTTCTCACTTTCTCTCCTAATCAATCTATGGTGACATGTTCAACAACAAAAACACCTGTTTCATAATATTTTCATCAAGAAGCAATATAAAAACTTACATTTTTTTTGTTTCTGTACATTAGTAAAACAAAACAAAAAATCAATAAAAATCGATTGATGAAAAAAAATAATAACCATCATTACAATGGAATGGAAAGTCAAAATGATGAAAATTTGTCACTTACATTACACTGAAATATCTCATTATCATCATTCATCGATAGTAATCGTTCATTCTTTTCATTTGTATTCATTGATATTTATTAGTTTTTTTTTGTTCTTGTTCTCTGTGTGTATCACTGTGTTCGATTCTACATTTCGACCTTATAATCACAAGAATCAAGTGCGACAGAGAGAGAGGGAAAAGAAGCCAACAATCACAAGATGAAAGAATAAAGTAGGAGAAAAAAAAAGATTTCCGTGGAATGCACATAGAGTACAACTCGATTCTCAAGTAATGTGTGTAACTAGCAAACAAAACATTATGTTTGTTGTTGTTTTAACGTTTTTTTTATTCATTGAATATTCTTAAATGAAAAGAATTCAAACAGTGATAGATAGATAGATAGATAGATAGAGAGTGAGTGAGTGAAATGTTTGGCATACCAAAAAGCAATATAAAAAAACAGAATAAATAGATAGAACAAAAGTGGCTGAATAAATGTGTCGTCATTTTCAATGTTTGCGTGCGTGTATAACTGTCATTATCATCACAATTATTGAGATTGTCGTGAAATTCTTTAAATCTTTTCTGATTTTTTTTTCAGATTCCATTCTGTTCGTTGCATTGTAATATCGATTAGTTTTCTGTCATTTTTTTTTCATTACATGTTTTTGCAAAATTACCAACACCACGCTACAAATTATTCTGAAACTTGAGTGAATGATCGATTGAATGGCAGTCAAAAGAGAGAGAAAAGAAAAATTTTTATTATCGACCACTTTTAGATCTCTTTGCGATGAACATCCAATGGATCAAAATATTGATGAAAATCTTTATGTTGATTATAACATCTGTAAAATATTGCTTTTATTCTTCATTTTTCGTTTTTGTTTTGTTTTCAAACACACACATTTAATTGCACCATTTGTTTTCTGTCTACGGTAAATTGTTTCCAATAATTTTTGTTTTTTTTTCACTCATTGAACAATTCATAATGGAAATGATTTCATCATTAATATATATCATATATTAATGTTGATGACTGCAACAGAAATGAACCTTTTTTTTTTTGTAGAAAAAAAAATTAATGATGACAAATATGAAAACTGTGTGTGTATGGTGTGTGTGTGTGTGGGATGGAAATGGCAAATCATCAACATCATTATCATCCGTTTATCGTTAGAATAATTATCTTCACACACACACACACACACACACACACAGAGACAGTGAAGAATAATGATAATTTGGAACATGGAGAAATGAGAGAAAAAATGAATTCAAAGAAAACTGGAATTTTCGTTTTTTTTGGGTTTTGGTTTTTTTTTCTTCAATAAATTTCAGACATCCATTGTTCATCATGTGTGTGTGTGTGTTGAGTTTATTTCTTCTGATGTTGGCCATGAATACATTTTGTTACAGTGTGTGTGTGTGTGTTTTTTTTTCAATTTTTTTTCTGTCTTATTCAGCTTCAATTTCATTGGTTTGTTTGTTACTATAGGCTCAAAAGCCGTATGCTTTTGGGTTTATTGAAGTGGAAAAAAGTTTGAATTTTCACTCACTCACTCACTCTCTCTCTCTCTCTCTCGCTCATGATCTGATGATTAAATGGATGATGGATAAACGACAACGACAACAGCATGAGAAAAAAAAACGAATGAAAATCAATAAATCAATAAAATTCAAAGCAAAAAAAAAAACAACCAATGAGAAAAAAGTGAACGTGTTTCAACAAGCAATACGCCCACACACTCTTACACTCACTACAGAGAAAATCAACAAGATTAATCGTCAAATTTTGAAATGCAAAAAATCATCATCACATTATTATTGTGGCGATAAAAAGTGAGGAAAAAAAACAAATTTAAAAGTCAAAAGAAAACCAGAGAAAAAAAACTGGCGCAAATAAATGACCATAGAAATGAAAACTGAATGAAATTTTTTGAAAGAATTTTCCATTGGATTCTTGGAATATTCTTTTATGAGATAGAGATTTTTGTATTTCATTTCTACTATTTTTTTTTATTTCTGCAGAACACTGATGAAGATGAATTCATGAATATAATTTTTTTTTTTTGGATAAGAGATATTCCAATGGGAAATCCAAATTCTGTGTGATTTTTGTTTCGTTTCGTTTCTCTGTCTTTTATCCTTCAAATGTAATATTCACGTATTCCAGTTTTTTTGGCTATTCTCAATTCGATTGATTTTTTTTTGATTTCATTTGAAACGTTTCTGTGTTCTGAAAATGTGTTGAAAAATCAATATGACTAGAAAATCAATCGATCAATGAATGATGATAATCAATGATTGGAGATTCGAGAATAGAAAAAAAAATCCATTTTTTCAATCATCATAATTAATAATATGGTGACAAAAAAAAGAGAGATTTACATAGTGTCATTGTCATCATGTCAGTTTTCATTTACCCGGTCACAGTAAAAAAAAAAAAAAAAATTTTTTCTTCAAAATATCGATAATCGAAATGAGTGAAAAATCGATTTTTTTTCCAAGTCAAATTTCGATTGATTTTTTTTAGTTGTTGTTGTTGTTGTTGTTGTTGTTGCCTGTTACAACAGATTAGATTCGATAATTTTTCATTACTTGCTGTATTGAATTGGATAGAAAATCTATATCAAAATAATCAAGGCCACAAGAAAAGATTTTTATTTTACAAAATTTCTGACTTTGTTTCTAATTTTTTTCTTATTTTCTTTTTTCAAAAAAATTGTAGCCGTAACCAATTCAACTACAACCACGACGACAACGACAACAACAACAGGCAAAACAATAAAAACAACAACAACAACAGAAATAATCGTGAAATGTTTAAAGATTGTGTATCGATTAAATCATCGGAAACAGTTTCCGCAGCGGTAGCCACAACAACAACAACAACGACAACAATACCATCAGTAAGCCTTAAGCCAAAATCAATGGAAAATGTAGCCAAATCATTTATTGTATCAACCGCAACATTAAATACAACAACAATGTCAATGGCTACAATCAATTCATCGTCGACAATGCCAACAATAAAAACAAAAACAGATCGATATGATGATGATGATGATGATGATGATAGTAGTAGTAGTAGTAGTAGTAAAAGTAGTAGTAGTTTAAATGACAAAAAACGTATTGAACAACAAAACAACAATAATAGTGAACAGAATCAATTCAAAACAAATGATAAACATTTTCATCATTCCACTAATGTTCATATGGATAAATTATCCGTAAAAAATCATCGTAGAAAAAAATCCAATATTTTTTTCAATGAACAACAAAAATTGGTAAAAAAATCAATAATTAATGATGAATATGATGAACAGAAAAATGAACAAGCAAAAACATCACCAAATTTACTGTCATCATCATCTTGTGTTGAAATTAATCAGAATAACAAATTATTATCGGCTACAACATCTACATCTACATCATCATCATTATCATTAATAGAATCACAACAAAAACCATCAACAATATTGATTGCGAATAAAATTTCTGAAGAATTACCCATAGAATATGAACAAACATCATATGGTTCATCAACAAATTATTCATTAAGTGGTAATAATAATTTATCATTGACAAAATCAAGATTTTTATTAATTAAAAATCTAAATAATAATAATAAGAAAAAACTAAAGAAAAACAATGAAAATAAATCATCATCATCATCATCATCATTAATTCATAATGGTTTAAGAATGGTATCTTATGGTCGTCATAGAAAAAATGATCATCAAAGCAGTAGCAGATGTAAAAGATTAACGAATAATAGTTCATTCTATGATTCATTTCGAATGAAATCATTTCGTTTTAAATCATTACGTAACCAGGAACAGAAGCAAAATGGTAATAATAATGATCAAATAGATTCAATTGAAACTACCTGTAATGAAAATGATGATGATGATGATGATGATGATGCTGATCAGATTTTTGTAAACGCTAATAATGCTGATGATGGATTGAGCACAGTCGTACCTGTTTCGGATACTGGTGATCATTGTAAATGTAAAAACAAAAATAATCAAAAACAACGACAACGACAACGACAACGGCAGCAATCATCAACAATAACAGCTGCACAAAAACATCGTAATGAATTGAAACGTGAAGAAAGTTCACGTTTACGACAAGAGAAAAAAGCAGCCAGACAATTGGGTGTAATATTGGGTGCATTTATTCTTTGTTGGATGCCATACATTATTACCTATGTTGTAACAGCATATTGTGCCTATTGTATTAGTCTTACCGTTCATCAGGTGACCATTTGGTTGGGTATGTTTTTTTGTTGTTGTTTTGTATTCCAGATTCTTTCATAATAATTTCTTTTTTGTTTTTTTTTCTACAGGATATCTAAATAGTTTTTTGAATCCATTTCTTTATGCACTTTGTAATGAAAATTTTAAACATGCATTCAAAAAGATGCTTGGACGTTTACAGCAACCACAACATTTTAGCTATAATTTTGATCAAACATTAGCTACTGCTGCTGCTGCTGCTGCCACTGCTACTGGTGGTGGTGGTGGTGGTAATAATCAAAATCAAAATTATCATCAACAATCAGCAACAACAACAAGAGGTAATAATAATAATAGTGTACGAATAATTACGCAACAACAACAACAACAACAACAACAAAATAACAATGATAATTCAACAACAACAACAACAACAATAAAAACACCAAAAACAACGACAACAGCAACAATGAAAAGGATAATAATAACAAAAACTATAGATAATGAAAATGAAAATGAACAAAACAAAATGAAAAAGAAAAATTTATTGAATATTCGAATCATTTGATCATAACACATGAGAATTTATTTGAAAGACAGAAACGAAAAACAAAACAAAAAACAAAAACAAAAACAAACAAACACCCGATATAATTATGAGCCAATTATTATTATGAGCAAACAATCAAAAAACAAAGAATCGATCGAACACAACAACAGCTTGTAATTTGTTTTTGATGTTTTTTTTTGAATGAATGAATTCTGGATATATAAAAATAACCAATAACCAATTGTTCAATTGTCAATTGTTTGTGTATTTGTTTGATAATAATGACTGATTGTAAACTTTTCGACGACGACAACAACAACAACAACAAACACAGTGAGAAAAGAGAATTTGTATCAGTATCCAATTTGTTATTCTGTTTTTGATTATTCTTTCCACAAATAACGTAAAACTTGAATTGAATTTTTTGTTTTGTTTTCATCAAATAAAATCAAATTCAAAGCCAAATCAAAGTGGAAAATAAAATGAAAAATTTAATATCCATTCCTTTCTCTCTTTTGAGCGCGCTGTGTCACACCCACCACCAGAATATTGTCGACAAAACTACAGAATGAATGAAAAATGATTCTTGAAATTTAATTTGTAATTTTATTTATTCATTTTCAATTGTAATTTGACATTGACAAAAAAAAAAAGAAAGAAACTGCTGCGCGTGAATGAAATGAAAAAAAAAATTGATGAAAATTCCAACAAGAAAGAAATGAAATTTCTTCTTTTTTTTGCTACAGAGAGAAAATTGAGCATGCTGCTGACTAATATAATGACGATTGTTATGCATAAACAGCTGACAAAATTGAGCTATAAACAGAAACAAAACAGCCATAAGAATGAAGTGTAAACTGAATTTTTTTTCCACGTTTTACTTAAATGTTTCACCATCATCATCATCATCATCATCTCTCTCATCACAAGCTCCATACATGCGGGCAGCCCCGTCCTCCTTGCTTCCTCGCTCATTTCCCCCCAAAAAAAGAATAAAAAAAACAAAATTCCGGTGATTAATGATTCAATTATTGTCATTCGGTTCGTTTTTTCTTTTTTCATTCAACTTTCTTATCTCAATTTTTTTTCGTTTCATGTTCATTGCCTTGAAATTATATCATTCCATTCCATTCCATTCATTCATTCACAATCGATGTGACAAACAACAACAACGACAACAACTACAACCCCCACAAATTCATTCCATGTTCCATGTTCATTTTCATTGATTTAAACAATGAGAAAAAGAGGAGATTCTTTTTTTTTCTTGTTATTCTGTCATCGCCACATACACATACACACACACAGAGAGAATTTGAGAATTTGAAATGGCGTTTTATTCAATAAAAGTTAGAAAAAAAATCAAATTGAATAAATGAAAAAAATTTTTTTTTTTAAGATTTTCCAACTTTTTTTTCGTTTATATAACGTCATTTCTGAATGAAGGTCATATCTGACCAAAAAAAAGAAACATCGAGAAGATCAACGATCTCTTGACAATGACATCATCATCATCATCAACGGAATAATTGCAATGAATGAATGAATGAGTGGCGACATTTATATTTAATGATTATTAATATTGTCGTTCGTTTTTGGACAATTACGGATGGACAACAACAACAACAACAACATCGACATCGACATCGACATTGACATCATTCATTTAAAGATGATTATTAGAATTTATTTGTTTTCACAGATAGCCGAGCGCACACGCACACGAACACGAACACACACACACACATAAGGCAAGGCAATATAACAACAAGAATATTCTTGTAGAATAAATTTCAATTTCAAGTGGAAAATAAAATTGAAAATGAAAAAATATATAAAAAGAGGTGGAATTAAAATTCATGAATTCAACGATGACATAGCACACTCACCATCATCATCATGATGATCATCATCAAACGATAATAAAATTATCATCAATTTTTTTCCGTAATTGAAATGAAGAGAGAAAAAAAAAAAAATTACTTTATCGATAATGATGATGGTTTGACGAAAAAAAAATCGAAAAAAATGAAAACGAAAAAAAGAAAATTAAATTTCAATCTTTGTATCAATATCCAGAAAAAAAATTGTCAAATATCTCCTTTCTGAAATCGATGAAACTTTTCATTTTCATTTTCATTTTTTTTTTTTTGGCTAGGCCAGGGGTTTATATTAATGAAAATTGCTAAGATTGCTGATCCTACTCAAGAAACATGTATGTTTACCCCCTGTGAAAATAGATAACATTTATCGACAAATTTTTGTTTCTATTTAGTTCATTAGATTCTTTTTTTTCCGATCCCTAGTGATAGTAATATGATATTCTCTCGTGTGTGTGTGTGTGTGTGTGTTTGACTTGAATATCAATGTGTAATTTATTCTATTTTTCTGCTTCTTCTCTCTCTCTCTCTCTCTCTCTCTCTGTGTGTGGGTTTCTTCATTAAGTGTAAAATAATATTATTAATAATTTACATCATCATCATCATCATCATCGTCATCGAAATCGATAATCTAAATATCATAATTTCTTCTTTTTTTTTCGTTTGGTTCCAAATACTTGAACTGAATGAATTAATGAATTTTTTTTTTGAAAATATTAGAATTTGTTACGCCATCTTTTGGTTAGAATTTAAAACCATCTGATATTAAAATCGATATCGCCATCTGTTGTCGATTATTGATTTTGATAAAATTTATTTTTACCTTTTAAATGAACAAAAAAACGAAAGAGATAAACAAAAAAGAAGATTTATTAACATGATTCAAATCAATCAATAATACAAATAATTATCATCATCATTGTGTGTGTATGTGTTATGAACAATATTTTTGTTTGAAAATCATCAATCAAAAAACCAAACACCATACTACTAAATTTTTTTGTTGCATCATTCAAATAATTAATTCATTCCAATAACAGAAAGAAAGAGCGAAAAAAGAAAAAAAAGGAAAAATTTGAAATTTAAAAATTCAGTAAATTTTAAAATTGATTCTCTTGATATTCCATTTGTTGATCATTGTTTATGGTTTCAGTGTGAAATAAATTTCCATCATGATTATTATCACTATAAACAGCCGCAATGCTTGCCGTTGTTTTTATCGTCGTCGCCACCGTCGTCGTCGTCATCGTCGTTGTTGTTGTTGAATTTGTTTGATTATCATCATTTGAATGATCACCATTCGTTAATGATCTGGATTTTAATCTAATCATTTGTTGTTGTTGTTGATTATCAATTGAATTTTGTTGATTTATTTTTGTTAATGATTGTTGTTTATCATTATCGGATGTTGTTGTAATTAAAATTGTTGGAACATTATTATCATCATCATCATCATCATCATTATGTTCAATATTTGATTGATCAGTAATTGGTTGTGTTGCACAAATTGTTACAATTGTTGATGATTGTTGTTTTTTTGATAAATTTTTTATTTTAAAATCATTTCTATAAACATTGTTGTTACGATCACCACCACTAGATGGCGATGGTGATGATGATGATGATGTTCGGCGACATTTATTTATCGGTTTATTAGATAGTTGATTCGTATCAGGCCCCATTGTGAATGTCATTGAATCATTTGTGCCACATATACCACCACCACCACCACCACCACTAGATTTAATGGCAGCCTGTCTTGCTGTACCAGCACCATAACGATAATTACCACCAATATTTGACCGATGACGTTTTTTTTGGCCACAAGTTAACATACGTTTAAATTCACGACGAAATTTCATACTACAAGCACTATATATGATTGGATTGATTGCACTGTATGAAAAACACAAAAATAATTTATATATTTGAAAAAAATAATGACAAAATAATCATAATAAAATATACCTATTGACAAAAATCATTGTCTTGGCAAACATCAAATACCTAGAAGCATAGAATCAAAAAAAAAAAAAATGAATGAATGAATGAATAAAATAACAAAGAAAACAAAAATTGAATACACCACCACCACCACCAACACCACCAACACCCCATTGAAACATACCATAATTCCATGTATGGTGGAAATGAAAATGAATTATATACGACCAATGCACGATATGGTAGCCATAATGTTGCAAATACAGCAACCACAACGGCCAACATTTTAACGACCTTTAACGATCAAACCAGTGAAACACCACGAATTATAAATATAAATCATTTCCATTGTTGTTGTTGTTGTTGTTGTTGTTGTTGTTGTTGTTGTAGTTATTTCATTTGGAGAAAAAAAAGAAGAAAAATGAAAAAAAACATGAAAAAAATCCATCGATATTGAAATGATGGGTAAATGATATCTATGCTGCTTGCTTTCTTTTTTTGGTGATCCAAAAAAAACACACACACACTGAGAGAGAGAAACACATGGAATTTTTTTTTAGCATCCAATCAAGATAATGATGATGATGATGATGATTTTTTTTTCTTTTCTCATTTTTTTTTATTTTCACTGTCGGAATCAAAATAATGATGTTTTTTTTTCTCCACTCTCCACTTTTCTTTTCTCTTGTGATTCAGGTGTAAGTATATGAAATTCATTGATTCAATCATCATCGTCATCATCATCATCATTGATCATAAATTGAAACAGGAACAGAAGAATTGATGTGTGTAAAGATTGCAAAGATTCTGTCAGATAATCTTTTCCGTATATTCTATTTTTACATAGATTTTGTACGTAAAATCCATACACATTGACACTGGAATGAAATTCAATGGAAAGATAGATAAAAAAAAATCCTGTTCCCTTGTGATTTTTTTCCCCATTGATTTCATATTAATATGGCTTGATGTATGTATAATAATTGAATGAAATTCTACTATTGAACACCATTATTATTATCATCATCATCATCATCCATATCATTATCAGATTTCTTTTTTTTCATCATTGTTCGCCAATTCGCATTCACATATATAATGGTATAATAATGATTATCATCATCATCGTTATCATCATCAGATATAGGTAATATATACTTGCAGACACACCCATCATAGTGTAGAAAAACCAATCATCCAGCCAGTCAAACGGAAAATAGACATAACGTAGCCATTAGAATGGCAAATTCTCAAAATGTAAAACAATATTAGTTCTGGAATCAATGAAAAAAAAAATTATTTGGATAAGAAGAATAAAAAAGAATCCGATTCCATGTCAATAGAAATTATTCCTTGATTTTTCTTCATTTTTTTCAATATTTACAATGTGAATTTGTTTTTTCAAAAACCTCAAAAATTCAAATATGAACAAAAAAAAAAGCACATCATAAGAATAATCAAATTTCTTTTTTCAATTGTTCGCCAATCCGATTCCATCATCATCGTCAATAGAATATAGGTATTCCTTGCAGACACACCCATTCATCCAGCCAGTCAAACGGAAAATGTGTTTTAGAATGGCAAATTCTCAAAATGTAAAACAATATTAGTTCTCAATCAATGAAAAAAATCAAATATTTTCAATATTTACAATGAGAATGAACAAACCTCAAAAATTCAAATATGAACAAAAAAAAATAAAAGCAAACATAAACTTTTATCATATAATAACAAGATGATGATGATGATGAAATTACAAAATATTGAAATCAGATGTTTCAAGAAAACTATTCATGCGAATTTTTTTTCCTTTCGTTATCATTGGAAATGATATGATATGATATGTTTCAGTGTGATAATTTGAATGTGGATGAAGAATAATTTTCATCCCAACAACAACAAGAAAAAAAAATTATGAAATTGAATTTTTGTTTGATTCATTCATGCGTTTGAAAGAATTTTTCCAATGAATTCTGCAATAAATTCTTTGCACAAACATTTGAATTTGTAATGGATGTGTGTGTGTGTGTGTGTGTGTGTGTGTGTGTGTGTGAATATAACTGGTGTATTCACATGACATGATAGTGTGAAATTTTTATGCAGAATTTTTTTTGAATAAATAAATGTGTTAGAATCAGCGGAAAACAAAACAATGTGATGTGGAAAATGAAGTGTTTATTTGAAAAAAATTTTTTGTTCCATTCCTCTCTCTCTCACACTCTCTTTATCTCGATTAGAATCCACAAGAATTGATGGACAAAAGAAACAAACAAACAAACAAAAATTGATTCTTTATTCTGATGGTCTGTATTCTCATCGTTTGTTTGCTTTCGTTTTTGTTTTCTCAAACATTGAGAAATGAGAGTGTCCATTTTTTTCGATTCCAAGCACTGGAATCTAGTCAATTATTTTTTTTCATTTGTATAGATAGAATATTCTCAAGATAAACACAATCAAAACAATCCGATTCTAATGGTATTCATTTGACAAGTGACAATCATTTGTTTTTATCTTTGTTTGATTGACGTGTACAGAGTAGAATCAAAAAGTAATCATAACTTTTATCATAACAATTTTTTTTCTCCAGAATATTCCAATGATAATGATGAAAAAAAAATCTGACAGAAATAAATTCTTTTCGATTGATTGATTGATTGATTGATTAATCTTCAACAATATCAATATTGAAACTTAATTTAATTGAAAAACAAACACAAAGTATATGCGTACTATATGGAATTTTTTTTCCATTTTTTTTTATTCACTTACTTGTACACGAGATGAATCATGTGATGATGAACTTTTTTTACTATTTGCACCAATCGTTGTACCATGATGGTGATGGTGATTAGTTAATTGATTATGATGATGATGATGATGTGAATTTGATGGTGATTCTTGTTGTTGTGTAGGTGTGGATGGTTGTTGTTGTTGTTGCTGTTGATTATGAGCTGCCGACAATGATGTTGATGTTGTCGTACTGGTTTTGTTGTTGTTGTTGTTGTTGTTGTTGAAACAATCATATCATTACTATGATATAGAATACGTGCAATCAATGCATATAATATACATGATATTAATAATGGAAGTATGTAGAATAGAACAATATCTGTTAGATAATATCCTTTATAAAATTCACGATTCAATTTAAATTTGCATGTATAAATTTCTTTATTAATCCAAAGATAATTTATACGTTCAGTTTTAGTTAGAAATAACCATGGTGCACAATATGTTGTTGCAAACATCCAAACATACATTATAATACGTTTTGCACGACGTACTGTACATAGTTTATGTGCCAACATTGGATGACATATCGCTATGTAACGTTCAACAGTGAATGCAGCAATAGATAATGATGATGCATTGATGCCTAAATATTGTAGAAATATGAATAATGCACAACCAAATGGGCCCCAAATCCAACGATCACCTAATAGATAATAGGATATAATTTCATTTGGTACCGATGCCAATAAGACCATTGTATCGGCAATGGCCAAACTGACTAGATAACAATTTGTTGGTGTACGCATTGAACGGCTACGTAATACAACAATAACGACCATTACATTGCCCAATACGCCTATAATGATGAAAGAAATTAATGTAGAAATGAAAATAAAGCATTAATAACCGGAAATTGAATTATTTTCAATATGAGTGTGAATTTGTGTTACTTTAAAATTGTCCAAAAAAAAATTTCTACTTTCCCTTTAGGGTGTAGCAGAATTTAATCTTAATCTGATTCCTGTGAAAGTAAATACAAAACCAAATAGCCTCAAAGAAAGGCCAAGAACAAAATTGAAATCCAAAAAAAAAACACAGAGAAAGAGAGAGAGCAAGAGATTTGTTTCCAACATCTAACTCTGAAAACTGAGCAGCAGCTGCTACCCAACGAGAAAAAAAAACATTGAAATAAAGAAAACACTTGCGTTGTTTTTTATTTTCTCACTTTTTTATTTCTCCATTTAAGCATCAACAAGAAGAAAAACAGAGAACCTTTAACAAACACACAAACATTGAGATGAAAAAAAGGATTTTTTCTTTTTGAATAAAAAAATCATCTGTTCAACGTTTTTTGGGCCAGTTTGTTTGTTTGTTTGTTTTCCTATCAAGATGAACAAAATCCACAACTCACACACACAGATACTCAAACTGCATGATATTCATGTGCATGTGAGAGATTGAAAGGATTATTTATCTAACAATAACCGAAAAGAAAAAAAAAGCAAACGGAAAACAAATTAGAAATTCAATACCGGCTCGATTAAATGAAAAGGCGATCGATATCGTTTCTTTTATTATTATGGCAATTGGAAGAAAAAATAAAATAAAATAAAATAAATCAAAATCTCAATTTTGGCTAACAAAAGAAAACAAAAAAAAAAAAAAATATTGAAATATGGAATGAATCTCTTTTTCTGACCTAAAATTGATTGATTCAAATGTTGTTTCGGTGAAAATGTTGTCATTAATTTTTTTTTGTTTGTCTGGTCTATTCACAACAAACCAACCACCTACGCATACGAATACAAATACACAACAGCTCTGTGTGTGTGTGTGTGTGCTCGAAAATATCAAATACGATCATTGATTGAAATGAATGGAAATGAAATGTGAAGACAAGGCGAATTGAGAACAAAACAAAACAAACAAACAAACAAACAAAAAAAATTACCAATTAAATTTCAAATCACAAACATCATTTTTTTGTGTCTGTGTGTGTGTGTTTGACATCTAAAAAACATGGCAACATCATTTGTGTTTGTGTTGATGGAAAAAAAATCAAATCAAATGAGTAAATTTCTCAAGAAATTTTTACATAAATTCTACTTCTTTTTTTACATGTTTACAATCTGAACATATTTTTTTCTGAATGATAAACATTGATTATTGAAATTTACATAAGAACTAGAGAGAAAAAAAATTGGAAATCAAACATTTGCCAAAACATTTCATTTTTGAAAGTGTTTTCGATCCAAAATCATGACTTGAAAAAAGAATAAACCACAACCAACCACAACCAGAATTACAGAATTTTTTTCCAGCCATTTTTTTCTGGATCAATATATTTGGTAGTTGAAAATTTTAAATTTTTTTTCTGCTCTCATATCTCATTATCATTGTTATGTTGAAATTACATTCATCGCTCAATGTTTGACAACTTTTTTCTCTCTCTTTCTCTCTCCCTGGTTCTTTCTGAATGAATAATGATCGATTTTATCTCTTGGGAAAATTAAATCTTGATGGTTTTTAAAGAAAGTGAAAAATTTTTTTTGCTTGAAAAAAATCGATATTGTAAACAAATACGATACATAAACCCCGTATATTGTTGTATCATCATTCAATGAATGAAAAGTCTAGACACAGACACTCTACAGACAAGATTTTGTTTCTTTTTCATTTTTTTTTTTTAAAAAAAATTTGACGATCCAATACATCATTCATCATCCATATGACAGAACAAAATTCAATCGCATGTTGAATGACAAAACAATGATGATGATGATGATGATGATCATCATGTCATTCATGCTGCTAGCTACTGCTGCCTCATTTAACATTCAAGAAGTATTAGAAAAAAAAAAATTTCCAAAAACAAAAAAAAAAAAAAAAAAAAATTTTACCGTTTTTTTTCAGCAGAAATATCACTAGACAATAATAATATCATCATCATCATTTTACTTGCTAATCATAAATCATTCAACAGTAACCTCAACAACAACAACAACAACAAAAAAAATGACAATGAAAGAAAATTTTTTTTTGGTTTTATTATTTGCAACAACTGTATGCAAAGGCCATAAGGATGGGTTGTTCATTCTTTTTACCATCATCAACAACGATTCGATTGTCATTTTCGTAAGAAAAAAAAATTATGACCCAATTTTTTTTTCTGAGCAGACAAAATTATCACCACCACCACCAACACCCACTCATGTAAATATTGAAAAATTTGCTGCTGCTAAACAGCAGACATTATCATTATCATTGAATGATTTTTATTTTCTATTTTGATCATACATACAGAGTTTCTCCGGGTAATGGCAATTTCAACCTTGTTAATTCTTTTTTTTATCATGAACTTTGCACTTAATAAAGAAAAAGCAGAAAGAAAATGATTTGTCAATGACAAATTGGCTAAATCATTCAAAATCATTTTTTTTCATAAAAGCCTAAAGGGTCCAAATTCAATACATTTATTTCTCAGTCATCAATAAAATGAAATTTTTTTTTGTGTTTGCGTGGGCGTCATTTGTGTGTGTGTGTGTGTGTGTGCGTGGAAAATTGGAAAATTTGATCACCTGGACGTGCGTGTTTGTTGACCATTCACCATGTTTTTTTTTCTCATTCACCACCAGGCAATTTGAGATATTGACATGGAATTTTTTTTCCATTTTCAATTTGCGCCAAAACGTACACACAGATACACAGACGTCTTTGTCGTATGAATTGAATGGAAAGAGAAAATTAAATTTCATCAAAACCATTCATTCGATGTTATAACCATGATGATGATCGTAATGATGGAATTTTGTTTTGTCGCTATTGTCAATAGAATAATCTTATTTTTTTTCTACACACCATTTTTTGTTATGGTTTTTTTTCATGATAATATTTGCCGGTCATATTTTATAGAGAAATGGAAAAAAACCATAATTGAATAGAATGATGGTGAATACAGAAAAAACGCCTGTCATGTCGCCATCATAGAATGGCCAAAATAACCACGACAATTGATGATGATGATTGATTATCGATCAAATCATTGTATCGGTATTCAAAACATGAAATTTTTTTTGTTGATTTTTTTTCTCTCAATTCTCTCTCTCTCTGTTCGTGTGTGTGTGTGTTAACATTAAACATTGTAATTATGTGGTCGTGGTAGGTGAACATTGATTATGAATGAGTGACAGAATTTTGAAAAAAAAATTCTGATCGTTTTGTTTCAATTTTTTTTTTTTAGTTTTCACTTTATTGAAAATGAATTCTTTCTCAAAAAAAAATCAACCAGAAAATAAAAAAAAGACAGCGGAAATTGTCGTTGTTGTTGTGTTGTTGTTTTTTTCTTGATGAAAATTGAGAAATTCTGGGTGAATAAATTTCATTTCTACACACACATATATATCATTATAGCCATTTCCTTTTCACATTACCATCAGCATAATTCAATCGAATCCATGATCATCATCATTATCATTGATTCCATTCTAATGTATCGGATGTTGTTCGTACGAACAATCAAACTTTGTTTTTTTTTCATGTTTAATGTTTGTTTTAAGAGAAACAAAAATCTACCCACTTTCATGATATAATGAATGAAATAAACATCATTAACCAGTAGGATCATTTGAACGTTTTGTGTGAAAGTTTAATGAAATAGCAAAAAAAAAACAAGAGATTAAATTTTCTAAAACTTTAAAAAAAATACGAAAACATTGATGATGTGTTTACATTTTCAAAGATGAAAAAACAAAACAAAAAACAGGATAATCGAGATTAAAATCTTAAAATTCATTAAATATTGAGATGGAAGAAAAAACTCGAACCCAGAATAAAGTCGATGAAAAAAAAACATACAAATGGAAATCTTTATGAAATCAATCCACATTGAACACATCCACATGAACAGAACACAAAACAGCGGCAATAATGAATGGTGAGAGAGAGAGAGAGAGAAAAAAAAAAACTTAAACTAAAGCCCGTGAGAATGAATTGGAGAGAAAAACATTTATTTTTGTTGTTGTTGTTGTTGTACAAAACATAACATAACAACAACAACAACAATGGTCTGTATCGATATTTGTTGTAATGACACTGAATCGGTTATTATTATCATAATCATTGGCAATTTAGCTGCACACAGCAGCTACACACACACAAACAAACAAAAAAAAATTTCGATACAAACATTTCATTCCATTCTGTGTTCAATTCATTATTATTTAGTTTTGTGTTTGTTGTATTTCTTTAAATGTCTAGAAAAGAATAAATAATTCTCTCTCTCTGTGTGTGTGTGTGTTGGTGTATTGGTGTATGTTTCCATATTGTTCCAGTCGTTGGCTAATAATTTATAATGGATCATTATGGATGATGGTGGTGATCATCATCATCATCATCATTTAGATTTTGAATGTGGGTTTTTCAAATACAAAAAAAAAATGAAAAGTCCAACGAACCAGAAACTGAAAAAACAAATTTTTTTCAACCAAGTTTCAAGAATTAGTTTGAAGAGAAAAAAAATTTTGTAATTTTTTTTTTTAATGTGGTCAAAATTCTGGACAATCAAATGTTACAACAACCACACTGGAAAAAAATGAATAAATTCCAAATTCTGAATGCCAATATTTCATTTTTTTTTTTTTTTATCCAAACCATCAATCATCAATATCAATGATCATTATTATTTTTTTTTTTTCGATATAGTAGCGGTCATTATTGTCGTAAATCACCATCATCATCATCATCATATATAGTTTTTCTCCATTTTTTCCTATTAAATGACACCAATTAATCAAACAAAAAAACTAGCAAATGTATTGAACAAATAATCGATTCCGGCGAATAACGGTAGCGGCAAGAAAAAAAAAATTTCATTTTTCATCATTTTTCAATTAAAAAAAAAACAATAAACAATAAACTGATACACGAGGTCATTCAATGACAAATAAATCATTTGACCATTAACTATTTCAAAGAAAAAAAAAAAAAAGTCATTGGATGTATTGATCAAAAGTCAAATTAAGAAATCAAGAATCCTAGTAAGAATAAATCTTATCTTATACGATGATTATCATATGATATATATCGATACATTATTCCTGAACATGAAACATTGAATCAATATAATATCAATATATGCAATTGAAAAGAATTATAGAATCGATTGATACTGTTAACAAATCAATATTGATGATTCTGGATTCCATGATGATTATTATTTGCCACAAATCTTGTTTATTTGCAAATTTTTTTTTTCTTTCTTACATTGGTAATTTATTCTAGCAATTGTAGTAGGAAAACTTTATAACTACTCATATTAATTGAATTTCATTTTCTAGTTGAGGCCGAAAAAAGCCAAAAAAAAAACCTAGAAATTTCCATCAAATTTTTTTTTCATCTGACTATCTATATCATTTGTGAAGTTGTTGTTGTTGTTGTTGTTGAACAAATAGAGAAAATTCAATGATTTTTGGTTTTGTTTGTTTGTTTATTTGTTCATCATCATCATCATTAAAAATAAAAATACATTCAGATTCACATCCTAAGCGAATGATGATCATCTTGATGATATCAGTTGGACGACAACAACAACAACAACAACAACAGAATAAAAAAAAAAAAACAAACTTACAAATGATAATTTTAATGATGATGTAATGACTTTCTATCACTCTCTCTCTCTCTCTCTGTGTGTTTGTTTTGCTTTTTACTTATTTTCAATATATAAGATTTATACATTTTCCATCTTATTTTCAGATTTATTTGTTTGTTTGTTCATCTATTCAGATATCGAATATCAAGTGGCCTGTTTTTGTTATCATCGTTTACGGGAAAATATTCAGGCTTTACCGTTTGATGATCAACACTATTATCACATCATCAATGGCCATTATCATTATCATTGACAAACAGGAAAAAATTCATTTTTATCTGGTTGTTCAAAAAAAAAAAAATTATTTATGGCCAACTTTAGAGAATAAACGAGAGATCATAACGGTTTTTTTTTCATGGATGATAAACATCCACATAGGTTGATAAACATTTTTTTCATTTTTTTTTTTCGTTATGAAAATTTATTCTCTCACCATGTATATACATTATACATAGACATTTAACGATGAATTATGTGTTATATAATTTTTTTTTTCACTTCTCATTTTTGTTCGTTAATCGCCTTATAAATAACAGAATATGAAAAATGAACAAAATTCCTAAATTATTCTGTTGTTGTTGCTGCTGCTGCAGCTCTCATTTTTTATTCACCGAAATTTCATTTGTTCAAACGAAAAAAAAATTGATGAACCAAACTTTTAATTAAAAATTAAATGGCCAAACATAAAGTGCAAAGTGAATAAACATTATCATCAGTGTGTTTGTGTGAGTGTGTGTGTATGCAAAATTATTACATTACATACCGACAATGAATATGATACCCTGAAATATTGTACCAATCATTTGATATGATAATGAATAATATTGTGGTATTTTCCATGTATCTAAATTTGTTAATGATATTGGTGATTCAATTGAATTGATTTTATCACCACCACCACCACCGATACCACCGCCATCGATTGCATTAGTATTTACATTATAGATATCTTGCCAAAATGTTTCAACAAAATCATTATCATTATTATTCTGATGATTGAATGATGCATACGATGATGATGATGATGATGATGATTTTTGTTGACAATGTTTCCGTTGTTGTTGATGATGATAGATTCCAATTGGTGAAATTGGACCAAAATAAATTTCCATTATCGATTAAATCTGTCGATAATGGTGATGATTCTAATGTAGATGAATAATCCATTTTTTTTACTGTTAATCAAATTCATATAAACGATGAAAAAAAAATGATGATGAATGTTGTAGTTGATTCTGATTATTGATCAATCATTTGATTGATTGAAAACATAATTTTTATTTCGAATCAAAAAAACACACAGCCACACGTACACAATTCACAAATTCTAGCCACTGTAAGAAAGAATAGGTGAGAAAGAAAATGGTACAGAATTTTTTTTTCCAAAATATTCCAGTCACATTCAATTCACTACAATACAGATTACATCTAATTCTCAATGTTCATCAATTGAGAATTTTCAATTCACCAAATAAAACAAAAACGAATTCAATGAGAACGAAAGAAACAAGAAAAAAAAATCACAGACAAAAAAAGAGAGATAAACATTACAAAAGCAGATGTGTATGGTCAATAAATCTTTCAATGTGCAGACATAGTGGACCGAGAAAAAATTCAAAAAACAAAAAATTGACCATCATCATTGTCTGTCTGTATACTAATGTTAATCAATTGTAAAGAAGAAAAAAAATCAACCAGAACAAGAATTTTTTTTTTTTTGCGAAAAAAAAACATAAATTTTAAATGCCGATGTTCTTGTCGTGTGTGTCGGTGTCGGTGTCTGTGTCAGTGAAACCAAATTTCAAATGAATGCATTTGAATTTTGTTTTTGCAATTGCTTGTCGACGTTATGATCTGAAAAAAAGGAAATATTTTGAACCAGAGAGAATAAACAAACAAAAAAAAAAACCAAACAGTATAACCATTATAAAAGTGAGAAAAAAAAATTGACACGCGCACGAGCATTTTACAATCAACCAAAAAAAAAAAAAAAAACCAAGATTCTTGAAGCAAATTCCATTCCGTTTCATTTCATTTTCCATTCACTTTTTCACGCATGTCTTTCTCTGCCTGTGTGTCTGTCTGCTCATGATGATGATGATGAAAAATAAAATGATCAAGTACGCACACAACGTTAGTGGTAATGATTTTGATGATTATGTTAAGAAGAAAAAAAAATCATTCAATTTTTTGAAATGTAAATCTATAAGAAAAGTTGTAATTTTTGTAACAACAACAATTTACAAAAACTTTGAATAAAAAGATTGATTTTTCAATCATTTAAAATACACAAGTGTGATCAATTTGATCATTCTATTTTATTTTTGATCAATAACGTAATCAAGTTTGATTTTTAAATTTTTGCTGTTTCATCTAATGATGATCCAGAATCCAGAATCCAGAATCCTGGGAAAAAAATGTCCATTTTTTTCTATAATAAAAATAATAATGTTCTTTTTCGTTTTTTCCACTAATTGGTGTTGTATGTGCATTGTATTGAAGAGATTAGTGTTTCTGAAAATGGAAGATGAATAAAAACTTGAGATCATCATCAATGAATCTTGTTTTTTGTTTGACATGATGGCTAGAATAAAGTAACGACAAAAAAAATGAAATTTCGTAACGAAATTCCAAACCACTGAATCCGAATGGATATTTTGGTTGTTTCGGCAAAAAAAAAAAAAAAATCTTATTCACCACCACCAGCATCATCACTTTTGCTGATCATTTTCCACCGCCCATCAAATTGATTGTTTGGTTGTATTTTCCAAGTTACATTTGATCATTCATTGACATATTTGTTTTTTTTCCATTCTCATTATAAAGAACAATCGAAACACATCTATTGAACAGTGATAAGAAGAAGAGAAAAAAGCGAAAACAAAACAAGAATAATACGAAAAAAGAATGGAAAAAAAATAAAATAAAAAGCAAAAAAAACTGTGAACCGTTCATGTGTGGTGGGAAAATGAATACGAATGAAAACGAAAAACGATAATTGACAACAATTCTGGATCGAATTTGCTTTCTCTTGGTTATATGGGTGTGTGTGTGTGTGTGTGTGTGTGTGTGCATGTAGGATTTGTTTGATGATGATAAAAATAATTGCCCCTATGATTTATTCTATTCGTTGATCGAGTTGTTTAATTTGTTTTTGGCATTTTGTTTTTTTTTGTCTTATTCTTATTCTACATAGTTGGTTATTCTCAAAACGAAATGAATTATTATTAAGATCCATACTTATATACTGCTATGGTGTAATTTATGGTGGTGGTGGTGGTGGCGTTGGCGGTATAAAAATCAAATGCAATCAAATGTTAGTGATCAGAATAATTGATAAAAAAAAGAGCGAGAGAGACAACAACAACAACAACAACAACAAATAATCATCTGATCAGAAAAAAAGGATTCAATTTCACACTTTTCATTCACATATAAACAGGTATTTGTAATTGCAAATATTCCAATTTGATTAATCAATTCTCTTGTGTGCATTCAACTAAATGAAATCAATTCTGTTGCATAAAACGATGATCATCAAATAAATTAATTATTGAATTATTTGACATTATTCGTTGCATCATCATAATAATTATTCTTCACTTTGTTCATTTATAATCATCATCATCATCATCATCATCATATATCCGATTCATTTAATCAAATTAATATGTATGTGTGTGTGTGTGTGTGCGAGTGTGTTTGATAGAATATTCTGTGTGCATTTATTTTTGTTCATCATATTTTCTCAATCAATATATACACTGTTTTCAGCGTTGTTTGACTTTTTTTTATTAATCAGCATCATTCATCGATGTGTACGTTTAGCTTTCTCTAGCTTTTTTTTCGAGCTCTATTTAGTTTTATGAGAATTTAATGAATCATAAATTTATTATACAAGATGAACAATAATAAAAAAACCGGAGAAAATTTTCAACCAAAACAAAAAGAATGATATGAAGGATAATAAGAATTCATAATCATGATATTGTCGTCGTCGTCGTCGTCGTCATCATCAAAAAAAGTCGTAAATGTAGCGTTAATAGGATTTTTGATTTTTTTTTCTTCTTCTTCGTTTGGCCTTGCCAATTTTATTTACCAAACAGACCGAAATCAAACTTAAAAACAACAACAACAACAACAACAAGGAGACAAAATGAGAAAAATGATGACTTTCTTGTTTTTTTGCTCTATTGCAATGTGCGTGTGTGTGTGTGTCTAATTCATTTTTATTCGATAAATTTTTTATGATTTTTTTTTCATTTCATCATTATCATAATCAATGGAAATGAAGGTTGAAAAGAGAGATTATTAAAGATGGTTATAATTTATTTTGTTGTTGTTGTTCAATAACATTTCCAATTTTAAGATGCTAAAAATAAATTCTCTCTGTCCCTCTCTCTAGCGTGCATTTTTTTCTGTTTTCATTCTGTTGATCCATTTCTATCAAAATAGATTAGCCTATTGCAATGAATAATTTGTTTTCAACAATTTTTCGCCATTACTGTCGTCATGTTCCAGAAAATGTTGTTGTTTTTGTTTGGGGGGGAGTCATTTGTTTGTAATCTAGAATTTTTTTTTACTTCATTTCTAAATAGCCAAAAGATCAAATGTTGAATGCAATGAATATGAATAAATGTACAACACGAGAAGAAATGAAATCAAAAATGCACAAAGTGAATGGGCGGAATATGAATGAATGATATGAGATTTGATTGTGAATCGTAAATTCATTGGTTTCACATGATTCGGTGAGAGAGAAAGAAAAAATTCTCAAATCAAAGATGATAGATATGCATGAATTGAAAATCATTTTATCATTTTACAAACAAATGTAGTATGATGATGATGATGATGGGATGATTCCTAAAACGGTTATTTGTCCATCTTAAATTACTCTAGCTCTTTTTCTCATTGTTTTGATTCTGAATGGTCAGTATTATCATTTCCAGATAAAAATCTGCCCAATGGAGAATGTTGATGGTCATCGGCAGTGGGTATAATTTGTTTTTTGCGATTCGTTTTTTTTTCTATCCTCTTGGATGTCAACACATGGAATGGTGATCACCATCATTAATGATGATGATCATCATCATCATTTTGAATCAATCTTTATGACCAATTCACGATGGAATGTTTGCAATGATGATGATGATCATCATCATCATCGTATTCATTATCAATTCCAAACATTTGTCTAATGTGCAAAGAACGGCGAATGTAAAAATAGAAAACAAAACTCAAAAAATCAATGTTTGTTCTATTTGGTCGAAATAAAAAAAAAAAAAACAGAATTCCGAAATAGCTAGCATATGGGTGTGTGTGTGTGTGTGTGTGGAGAGAAGGAAAGGAAATAAAACACAATCAAATTAAGATCCATGAATAAAGAATCGCTAACAAATTTTATATCTTGGCCCTACGTTTTTTTTATTGTCTTCTATTTGCTTCCATAATGAATTTGTTTGTTTTTTTTGGGTTTTTTTTTATTATGCTTCTCGAATCGACAAAGAGAATCGAGAAAAAAAATGAGCAGAATTTATTCATCAAAACAGAGAATTTATTATTGCCATCATCGCCACCACCATCATCATCCGAATGATGGATCTTAATTGAATTATACATATAAATCAGTGAGGATAAAAAAAACACTAAAGATTAATTTATAAACTGGAAAAAAAATTACCACGAATACTGGATAATAAAAATAAAAAAAAAAATTCTTTTCAAAACCAGACTGAAACAATTTCGATTGAAGCAAACAGAACGTCTGCAGAATAAGATTATTGACAATGAATAAAAAAAATGAAAAATTTGCTTTCTTCTTGCTAACAAAAACAAACAAATTCAAATTCAAATTCAATTTAAAATTCAAACAAAAAACATGTGACAGTGTTGCTGTTGTTGTTGTTATTCTGGTTCAGGTTTTGTGTATATATGCAAGTTTACGTGAAAGAAAAAAAAAGTCAGCGGAAAAAAATGGAAAATTTCCTTGATAAACATGGAACAAAATTTCGTTTTTTTTTCTGTCCTATTTCCACAAACACACACACACACACACACAGATAATGTTTACAAATGATATTAAAAATGTGAAATCCAAGTCGGCAAGTACTGTTGCATTGTTGTGTAATATAAACAAATTCTTGGACGAACCAGCCAGCATCAGA